TTTCTTTCTCTCTTTTACGCACCACGGAGGAATGGCCCAGGCTATAGCCTCTATACGCACCTCATCAGGAAGCTCACTTGGCCCATGCAGAACATTATTTCATTGAGATTTATTCAGTGCCTTAAAAGTGTGTGGAGCCAAATCAGGGTATGTTTGAGCACGCAGGGTTATCACCCGTGTCATTCTGCTTTGCCTGTGCTGCGAGTGGCACCGTGACAAGGGGGGAGTCACAGTAGGTTTGGTGACGGTGCATGGGAGCGCACTGGGCTGCAGACTGTGGCCAGTTGCTGGGGATATACTATTTGATCAAATGAGCCGAGGGTTTTCGGAAAGAAGAGGTAAATGTGAACTGGCTAAGTGGACGCACTCCACTTGGAGAGCCTATCCCTCCGTGTTTACCTGTTTACTTTCACAGGTAGTTCAAACAGGGCCGCTTGCCTTTTCACTCTGACAGGGGCCAGCATGCAGACTGGGTGCTTTTTTTTTTTGTTGCTTTTTTTTATTTTGCAAGGCGGGACGAGTTAACGGGACCAACAGTGGAAAATGTTTACAGTCCAGTAAAAAATGTCAAGATGCGTTCAGGCTGCATTTATGTACAATTAATCCAAATAATTGTCCAGTAAAAATACATGGTAGTTTTGATTGCAGATTTTGTACAAGATAAAAGGTATTAATATGATGTTTTTATTGCTATTATGATTATTATTAATTAAATTAATATTAATATTATATAGTTTTTGTGGTGGAGCGTTTTAAAATACTATTTTCTTATTACCAGCTCTTCAATGGTGTTGCTTTTGTAATTATCTAGTAGTAAAAAAATAATAATAATTATCGTGTGTCTAACAAAGCCACAAAGTTGAATCATTGTTGCTGCTATGCTTGGACACCATTGTTTCACAATCCCCAGTTAGGACTGTGTGTCTGTGAAATGTGTGTGTGTTGGGGGTGTTAAAGCACACAGAGGATGCAGTAAAGAAGGGCCTCTGAGCTGCAGATGCATCAGGATTTAAAGGACAATACGGGGCTCGCAGAGCTGGTGCTTCCTATCACCCGCTTATTTGAGTCCAGTTGAGATTAAATCTTCAGATGTGACACCAGAACGCAGCATTATAATAGTATTTCTCACTGGGCTGTTCATCTGACTTCTGTGCGTAAAACCGCACAGTGCGCGCACAAGACTAACCTTTTTATGTGATCATTGCTGCTGTAATTATGCTATCACCAGTTTTGCCAGTTCTCCCATTTTAATATTATAAGCTACAGAGCTGACTGGCTCATTATTAAAGCTCGTTACATTTTTTTTTTCTGATCCCAGCTTTGCAATCAAACGTACAGCAGAATGGACTCATCCAAAAACAATTAATTTTTCGGATGAACCCCAAAAAAGCGGGCCCCGTCTGATTAATTATAATTCCCTCCTAAAAATTCATGCCCACGATTGTTCCCAAATAAGTAAAGAAAGAGCTTTTTATATTCTTGATTAAATAAATCTTTCGATTGAATGCACAAATAAGAATGCCGCAGGAGAATCCATAATAATGTTGATCATTGCCTCCTTTTAATCGCTGAATTTCAGCGTGTTTGGATGCCTCAGGCAGGGAGTTAGTCTTTGATAAAGGTAACCCCTGCTGCCTCAGGGTGCACATGATAAATGTACAGAGTGACAAGACCGATTTCCTCCCTCTATGATTAAAAGCCTATATATAATATGCAGGTAAAGCCGGGTCCGGTTTATTTATGGGGGCTAAGCCATGGCCCGAGGAGACTTGGCTTCGGGGTAGAAATCATTTTGGAGCCCGTTTTTTTTTCCTCTTTTTTTTTCTTCTTTTTTTCCCTGAAACCAGCCACCTTTCCCTCCCAGGCAAAAAGTCTTTATTCGTCTCCTTTCCTCTAATGATTAAACATGTCACGGCGAGATTATAGCATCGCGCCCGTGCCCGGAGGAGATGCCTTCATTTGTTAAACCACCAGTTTATTTGTAACGGTGAATTTCATGCCACGCTGTGCCATTCGCCTTAATCTTTTCCTATGTAAGAAGAATTGCTAAAAAGGGGGTTTATTATTTTTTAATCACTTCCCATTTCAGTATCGCACTGACATGAAGGGAGGAGGAGGAGGTGGAGGAGGAGGAAGAGGGGGGTAACAACCTGGCTACTGAGGCTTCTTCACTCACACACACAAAAAAAGGGGGCAACTATTATTTCCAAAAGCGTTGAGGAATAATAATTCCTAATAAATACATAAACAAATAAACAAACAAACAAACACAGGCTCTCCAGGAGAAGCTGCTGTGGCCCGCTCCGGATGACACAAGTACAGACAACTTGTGCTCCTCGTTGGGCAGCATGTGTGTGAGAGCGGTAATAACATTAACAGCTGTTGACATCTGTAGAGCTCTAGCGGTCTCTACCGGCTAAATTAAGGAACAACAGGGGGTGCTCATTGTGTGCACCCAATTAGACAACTTCTAACAGGCAGCCACGGCGCACGCACACAC